GAGGAAGAGGAGGCGAGGGGGAGGGGCGGGAGAAGGCACCGAGGGGTGGGAGCCGCGCGGCTGGGAAGAGCCGAGACCGCGGCGCGGGAGGGAGCGCTCGGAGCGAGCGGGGAAGAAAGACCTGCATAGCTACAGCCAATCAGGATTGCCCGTGGGGCTCTTAAAGAGAAAGGCGCCCCCTTGGCCTCCGCTGCCCGCGCTCCCCAGGGCCGGATCGCGAGCCGGGGGGGTAGGAGTTGGCAGCCTCCGCCGGGGAATGGTGGTAGGTGGTTCCCAGGACCGCGACCCTGCAGAGCGACTCACAGTACTTCTGTCGGTGTGAGGGTGTGTGTTTCTCCAGCTCCAAAACGTGTCATTCCCAGACGATCTCTTTAGAGAAGCAACACTGTGTCTGTTCCCCTTTAGCCCCGCTTCTCAAGTCAAGGCCACCCAGATGGGAGAATTTTAAATACTTGCCCCGAGTTGCAACCCTAGCTAAAGCCAGATCCACGGTGAGAGTCAGAGTTCGGTGGCTGCCGTGGTGAGCAAGGCTCTTTGGGCCAGTGCAGGGATGGAGGGCAGCCTCGCAGCTCCAAAGTAACCGCTGTGGACAACCCAGGCACACAGTAGGTGCTCAGTCAGCGCCTGTGAAGTGACGCACGGATGGTTCAGGGCTGGCCAGCAGCCCACAGCGCCCTGCCCACCACCGCACAGCCCTGTGCAGGGTCAATTCCAGCTAACCAGCGTTCTAGACTGTCCCAGTAGCTCTCCGTGATGGAACGAGACCTCAAAATGAGCACCATAGAGAAATCGGCTTTAGGGAAAAAAATACCCAGAACATTCCAAGGAACGTTAAGTTGTGTAAAATTTGTGTCTGCACATTTTTCCCTCTTAAGGTTGTTGATTTATGAGCCACCCGAAGAGGGCCGCATTCGCATAGAAAATACAACGAGGGGTGACTGGGTGCGCCCCACGCAGGCAGGCGTGCTGCACCCACAGGTGAGCCAAATGAGAAAAAGGAGCTCAGGACTGGAAGCCAGGTGCTCTGAGCCCCAGGGTTTGGGCGTTGTGACTCTGCTCTCTAGGTATCCATCTCCTGGAGACAGAACTAGTCTCTAATCTTCCTTCCAGCTTGCAGCTCGTATGAATGTGAGTTTGGAGGGATGTCATTATGTGGGCCAAAAAATGCTGATTTTTGGATTATCTGTTGTTAGAGAGCCTCTCCAGGGATTCCAGGAGAAGAAAGAAGAATTACAAAGAACTGACTGCATGAAAATGACGGGCTGGAGCACCTATCAGTAATTGCTAATGGACACAAGCCAGTAGAATTAGCTAGATAGAACCAGATCCTATCATTATTTATTTTATTATTATTATTTTGTGAGATTTTTGCTATGGAGTGCATGCCCTTGGGGGATGGAGAGACAGAAAGCTACAAATCAGTTCCCGAGGGGTATGACCATGCTGCTGCCCTTTCTCCTCTACTGGCCTCTTGGGGTTTGGGGCACATATGCACAAGCACCTGGCATGAATTTCCAGTGCCTGGGTCCAGGACTCGAACTGCAGTCAACCATGTGGGAGTCCAGTGACGCAACCATTACACCACTGCTGGTCCCAGAACCAGGTCTAATTGAAAAATGAAGTTATTTGTATGGCTTATGGAATCCGGGCCACTGAGCTATGCTCGTGGGACTGAAATGTCATGGGACTGAAATTGCAGGATGAAAGTAAATTTGCCCGAGGACCAGCGTGCAGTGACCAGCGAGACAACGAACACAGAACAGGAAGGGGCAGATTTCATCAGCCTGCTCACCTGGACTTTATAATGAACCACTTTTCCTTCTCATGCTCCCTCTGTTCTTTTTGTTAGACAGCAAGCATACCTATGCAGAGTCCAGGAAAAGCAGCAAAATACTGATAGGTCTTTACTTGCCTCCCTGTGTACCGTATCTGTCATTCAAGCTGCTCTATCTGAATCTCCCTGAGTGAACATCTTCCTCTCTTCCCTCCAGTGGGTCAGACTGGCAGGGCTGATCATTTCAGCTGGTTGTCCTCAAGGCAGAGAAGTGAATGTTTTGTGTGTTGGGGAAGGGAAGATGTTTTCTTAAGGTTTTTCAGGGGACCAGTAGATGGCGTAATGGTTAGGTTGCTGGACTCACGTAGTTAACTGCAGTTTGAATCCCAGACCTGGTGGCTTCATACACTGGGTGCTTGGGCGTGTGTTCCCAAGATCCCAAGAGGAGAATGGAGGAAAAGGGATTGCTGTGTGGCCATCCCCCCGGGGGGCGATTTCTCACTTTCTGTCTCTCTGTCTCTCCATCGAGTGCATGCATCCTATACCAAAAACCTCTCTAAAATAAAAAATAAATTTCAAAAGAGTTTTCGGATTCTGCCTATAAAAGGATAGCTGAAGAAAAAGGGTTACTCCAAGTCGTGCCACAGAATGCCACATGTAAAAAATATAAGATATATGCGTGCTAACAGTAACTGTCCCCTATAGCATATTATACCATCAAAGTCTCTACTTTTCTGTCTTGCCAGAGACCCTAGTATCTTTTCTTAGCTTTGGTCAGGACCCTAGAAGTGTATATGTATTCTTCTTGTCTCAGGATGCGGGCAAAGAAGACAGGAACCCTTATCTTGTCAAACAAATAATTAACAGAAATGTGATGAGAACTATAATACTGGTATGTGTAAGATGGCATGCAGGCACAAAAGAAGGAGTAGTGAATTCACACTGGAGGCAGGGAGGAGGGAGAATGATATCTGAGAAAGAATATATAAATATAGAGGGGCCAGCAGGTGGAGTGGTGGTTAAGGGTGCTGGACTCCCATATGACTGACCGTGGTTCAAGTACCGGACCTAGTGGCTTTTCTCTCTCTCTTTCTCTCTCTCTCTCTGTCCCTCTTCAGTCAAGTGAAAAATAAAGTTAAAAAGTAATTCTTAAAAAAAAAGAATATATAAATCTGCATACATATACACAGATATAATTGTGGTAAATTCACCATATTGTAACCATCTTAACCACCACAAAATTAACCACCTTAACCATTTTTAGGTATACCATTCAGTAGCACTAAGTATTTTCATATTTTTTATGCATCAAATCTTCAGAACTTTTTCTCGCAAAACCAAAACTCTGTATTCATCAAGTCATCCATTTCCTTCTTTCTTTTTCTTCCTTTCTTCTGTCTTTCTTCATCTTTTTTGGGGGAGGTCTTTGCTATAGGGTGCATGCGCGCTTGCCAGAAAGAGAAGTCAGAGAGACAGAAAAACAGAAAGCGAGAAATCACTTCCCAGGGGGATGGCCGCTACCCCTTCTCCATTCTCCACTCTCCATTTTCTTCTCGGGATTCTGAGTATGCATGCACATGCACCCAGCGTGAGTTTAAGCAGCCAGGTCCAGGACTCAAACTGCGGTTGACGACATGGGAGCCCAGTGAAGTAGCCATTACGTTATCTGCTGGCCCCCTTCCTTCCTTCCTTCCTTCCTTCCTTCCTTCCTTCCTTCCTTCCTTCACTCCTTCCTCCCTTCCTCCCTCCCTCCCTCCCTTCCTTTCTTTTTTTCTTTCTCTTTCTTTATTCTTTCCTTTTCTTTCTTTCTTTCTTTCTTTCTTTCTTTCTTTCTTTCTTTCTTTCTTTCTTTCTTTCTTTCTCTCTTTCTCTTTCATTCTTGCTGGAGAGAGAGAGAGAACTCACCCCTATTTTTCCATTTGTTGCCTGTGCTTTTGGTGTCATAGCCAAGAAATTATTGCCATATTCAATGCCCTGAGGCATCTCCTCATTTTTTTTAAAGAGCTTTGTAGTTTAGCCCTTATGTTTAGGTCTTTTGTTTTGTTTTTGTTTGTGTTTGTGTTTGTGTTTGTCATAGGGCACATGCACTCATCAGAGAGACAATGAGAAGGAAGGTGAGAAGTCACTCCTGAGGAAGGGTGGCCAAGGGTGCAATCCCTTCTCCTCCATTCTCCTCCTGGGATTTTGGGCATGCATGCACATGAGCCCAATATGAATTTCAAGCCACCAGGTCCAGAACTCAAATGTGATCAACTATGTGGGAGTTCAGCACCTTACCCACCACTCCACCGGCTGGCCCCAGGTCTTCGATCTATTCTGATTTTTTTTTTTTTGATATATTGTATGAGGTAAAGATTATTCTTTTGCATGTAGGTACTTAGTTTCCCCAGCACTATTTGTTGAATAAACTATCTTTTCCCCAGTGAAGTTCTTGGAGGAGAAGAGATTGCAGCGTGGCCATCCCCCCAGGGAGTGATTTCTCGATTTCTTTGATCAGAAATGTGATTTTTTTCCTGGACTCTCCATTCCATCTGTTGGTCTGTATCTGTCTTTATGTCAGTACCACACTGTTTTGAGTATGATAGCGTCATGATAACTTTTTTTTTTTTTTTTTTTGAGAGAGATTTTCGCTATAGGGCGCGTGCGCTCGCCAGACAGACAGAGAGAGACATAGAGACAGAAAGCGAGAAATCATCCCCCAGGGGAGATGGTCACGCCGCAATCCCTTCTCCTCCATTCTCCTCTCGGGATCATGGGCACGCACGCACACGTGCCCGGCGTGAGTTTTAAGCCACCGGGTCTGGGACGCGAACCGCGGTCGACTACGTGGGAGTCCAGCGACATAGCCATTACGCTAACTGCTGGTCCCGCGTCATGATAACTTTTGAAGTCAGAAAGTTTAAGACCCCCAACTTTGTTTAAGATTGATTGGAATCCACTGAAACTCCATATGAATTTTAGGATG